TATCCAATCAGACGTCTGTTCTTCCTACTTTATATTCTTTAAGTCGGACTTTCAGGAATTCTATCTTGGAGAATTGATTCATGAAAAGTATAAATTAGTCAGTCGCCTCCTCATTATTCCTTATTTTTGATGACAGAAATTGATTAACGCATTTACAAAGTTAAACTGAACTGAATTTACAATAAAAATATCGTAAATGCTCGGCAACATGAGAACAAAATTTTAAAATTTTAATTTTGAACTGAAAATAAAAATGTAGAAAATAAATATTGAAGCAGAAACAAAGAAACAAAAAGAGAAACACAGCACACTGTAACTTGGTCTAAACCTACAACTCTTGTCTGGAAACAGCTCACAATTTCTTAATTTCCATGGGGTCGGATTCAGACAACTGTCTTTCCACAGAATTATTGGCAAATTTGACCAAGAGATAGGAGGGGATAAAAGATGATGATTGGGGCACCAACACCAGTATGGTGAAGTTTTTAAGTTTTTATATCAGCCCACAGATGGTAATATTTTTACAGGCAATAGTTATCTAAGAGACAGAAAGAGACTGAAGGAAGAGGATGGTAAAAGTCTACACCTACAGTTCAATTATTTCATTTGTAGTATTAAAAATACTATTTTTATATTTTAAGATTTGTGCGAACACATTTCCTTATTTCCCCAAAAATAGGACAAAAAGTTTTGGGATGATTTTTAAAATAAACTTAAATGGAAGTGAATGATAGAGGATGTGATTGCTGAATTGAAGACATTTTTCTAGTCATGTATTTGTTCATGAGGCAACAAGAGGGGGTGGGGAGAGGGAACAAGGGGAGAGGGGACAAGGGAAGAGAAGGAGGGGGTAGAAATTGTGAGCCAGACAGGGAAGGGGCCAGGGTTATATATATATAAATACACATGATATATAATGTATATATACTGATATTATGGTGTTCAAACTACAACCATGTTTAACAGCACACAATCTGACTTCATGCCATTTTCCAGGGAAATTCAAAACTATTTTCAGCAATATGGTAAAATTCTTTGAAAGGAAATTATTTTAGCTGTTGTAAAAATGATGCAGCCACACTCTATGATTTCTATTTAAGAAGATTTCTTGAAACACTCGAGAGCTAACAGATCATGTATAAGGCCCATTGGTCAATTAATAATAGAAGACAATTCTTTAATGTCACAGTGGTTGGAGTAGATGCAGATTCATATTGTGTGCAATCAAACAAGGCTGAAAACTCTCAGACAAACACAAATAAAAAGCTGGAATTCAATTTTTACCTAATTTCTTAAATTGCAAACTTAATCATACTCGGAATCCTAGAGAAGGAAAAGAATTAAAAATTTTAAAAATAGGAAAAAGGAATACACCAAAAATTTAATAAATATGTTAAAAATCTATTTGAATTATAAACTTGAATTTTCGATATAAAATGAGAAAAAAATTAAAATTTTAAATATTTTGAACAAGAAATCAACTTTCAACATAATTCAATCAAAAAATAATTTCAATTTGTAAAGAACAAAATAATAAAATTAAACGAACGAACAAATGAAAATAATTCCAGCTTTTTACAAACATTTCTTACTAACTGTAGTCAATCAGAGTGGTAGAAGAGCAACAACAAATATGAAAAAAAGAAAAAAAAAACAAAGTATTAATTTTGCTATCTTGATAAAGTAATTGAAAGCAAATCAAACAAGCGAAAAAAAATTAAAATTTCTAAATAAAGGCAGAAAATTTGATTAATGAAAGATAAAAATTTGTGAAAAAATTGAAAAATGAAAACATACTGCGTTTCAAATCAGTGAAATGGCTTTAATTGGACTTAAAAATCATCCAAATCTAAAATATTTTTAAAAATTTTATCAGTTAGTGCTTATAGTGACTTATCTGCCTTTTTTCTTAAATTTCTGCCTGATTTTAGTACAATTTTGTAAAAATTTCATCAATTCAACATTTGGGAAAATTCAACATACATAGGCTACAATGCATCTACTGTGAATAACTCGCCAATAAATGGAGTTTTGTCCCTTTGACTGACAGAGTCGAGGACTTGAGTACAATCAACACCAAGCTATATATGGACCCAAGTTAAGTCATTCAGCAAGAAGCAAGGCTGAAATTGGTGACTTAAGCACCAAATAAACTCTCTGATCATGTAATTTTACTAAGTTTGAAACAATAGAACATGGCTTTATATATTCAAACTGCAAAATTTCAATCGAGTAAAAAATAAACCGAAGCCAGAGATAAAATGCCAATAGTCAGTGATTTCAGCTTTTAAACCAGCGAATATTTTAAATTAAAGTGACCACATCAGTCTTTTACTTGATAATCCTGTATTATGATAAAACATTGTTAAAAATGAGATTTATAATGGATATTATTATTAATTATGCAACATTTTAGATATATTGGAAATTATTGTGCCTTGCTTCAAAAAATATGACACTATAAAGGGCCACTGTTTAACAGTAAAATGAAAAGCAGTTATTAAGTCAGACCACAGCACACGAATATACATTACATAATACATTGTAGAAATACAGTTCTATCTACTGGTAATTGGGGACTATATAGATCTATAATTAGTAACATTGCCAAACCCACTGCCAATACACTCTACATGACACAATGGCTAGTTGATCTAGACTACAATAAACTAGATGTTATGATCTACTGTAATGAATGCATAGATTGTCTTCTGCTTTTCTTTCACTTTATTTTTTGAAAACTGAACAAATTTCCATATTGAAGGCGGCAGGGAGAGCTTGGTTCACCCAGAAGAATAGTTTGTATCGACAATTGGCACTTCCACTTTTGAATCTCAACCCCCACAAAATCTCCCTCTGCTTGTCCAAGGTTTTTATAATTTGCTTGGCTTTATCAAGTTGAAATGGGAATCTATGTGTTCATCACTTTGATACATTTCTGAAGTTATTCAAAACTTTGGAAGTCTTGCCAAATCTTTCAAAAAGTACTTTCCCCTCTAATTTCCAAAAGTTTAGTTTAAATACGTCCCGCCCCGCCCCACAATTTCTAATGAGTAAAGATTAGTATAAATACAATACACAATGTTAGTAAAACAGAAAACAAGTTCTATAACTCATTAACAACTCTTCAACTCTAATATTATACACACATTCAGGATTAATAAGACAAGTCATGTCTTATCCTCGCACCAACAAGTTTATACAACGTGCAACATTTGGTGTATTAAAATTGTTCTTTATGGCAGAGTAATGACTTTTTTTTTGTAAGTCACACTGAAAATTGGAATGGATGCAATCAGTGTCCCTGAATGTACTAAATTGTACAACACTTTATTGCCAAAAAGTGGAAAGGCAAAAAAAGGAGCAAGATAAAAGCTTCCATTTTATTGCAGAAGCCCAAAATTTTATCTAATGTGTGTATAATATGAGGTTAGTATCTAAGGTTAGCCAATGTGTCATGTGACCAGGTCATGTGACTAGAGTGATATAGGTCAGTATTATTATAGCGAAGACATGCCGGAAATCACTGACTTAGAAACACAGTATGAAAAATTGGTAGTCTCACCCTGCTGCATAGGATATCCCACAACACCTTGACCTTGGCCATTGAACTGCTGGCCTTGACCTCCTTGTTGCATCTGAAGTTGACCCCATTGTTGCTGCATTTGCATGTTCATTCTGAAATGGAAATATCATGGACTTAAAATCAAATAGTAACCATTTAGTATGTATAGTGAAAGAAAAACATTTTGAATCTAAACTGCAATGTTAAAACATCTTGACTCGACTTTACCATCTTATTATAAAGAACTGTATCTAAGTTTGTATGAACGCTATCTTCAATCAGTATTACAGCAGGTTATAATCTGCTGAGCTCCTGATTTCTTTGAATTCATCATGTTCAAATATGTCTCAAACTTAAGAGATTAGGGTGGTTGAAAGGTAACCAGTTACTATTTAACAGAAAGCACTGGCACAGGGTTAAATCAGTGGTCACTTAAAGAAAGCTCTGATAGCAAGATCCACCAAGTCCAACATTTAAATCTAAATTCGTCTTTGAATAAAACATCAAAGTATCTAGGGATTTCTAAAGAGACTAGCCAAGACAATTGTCCTAAAAAAAAATGAAGATTGACTGGTGTATTTTCCAGACAATGGACCATCAAATATTCTGAACATGTTAGGCGAGGACTAACTTAATTACTCTCAGTAGTCAGAATACCACCCCAGTAACTCTCCATGGAGACGCATATTGTTTTTATCTTTACGTTTACGTCAATAATGAAATTTAAATGGAGACAAAGACTACCATGTGATATGTCATGTGATTGATTTAATTTATCACCATTGGTCAATAATCACATAAATCTTGATTGCCTGACAAAATTCACTTCGTTTTTTCCTTAACTGTTTCCTTGCAGAATTTATGAAATAGTTTTCATGAAAATTAGGTAATAAAGAAATATATTTTTGTCTTTTCAAAAAAACCTTAAAAATCACAAGGACCAAAATACGAAACCAGAAATCCAAAAACAAAATAGTGAAACATTGGTAGCAGCTAATGAACATTGATCAATACTTACGCCTGATAATTATATCCTGGCCATTGGTTACCACCCCCAGCAGCAGATTGAAGATAGCCCCCTTGAGCTACGTTACCGTACCCTGGGTAGGCTCCAGGGTTACCACCCCAATATCCCACGTTATAAAACTGACCGTAGGAATTGGGTGATTGGAATTGTTGCTGTTGTTGCTGAAAAACAAAAGATTGGACATTAGAATCATAAATCATTTATTTTCATGGGTATTTTTAGACAATTTTAAAATCTTTCCATTCTATTTATATAAATTCACCAACTAATATCATCAGAGACAATACAGTTAATGCTTTGAAGCTGTAGAAACGTCGTTTAAACCAAATGATCACCCTGAAAGGCAAACAAAATGCTAGAATACTTGTTACTTACATCTCCCATTTGGGGTGGCGTGGGTCCCTGGGCAGGGTCATTGGATTCTTTACCCCAGGAACATTTAACCTGTTGTTCCATAACGGTAGTTCCATGGACACCACAAATAGCATTTGTAGCAGCATCTTTTGAACCAAATCTGAAATGTAAAGGCACCAGAAATTAAATCAAAAGTTTCAGTAAATGTTGACTACAGACCACAAATATTTCACAGCCATGAGAAAATTCAGACAGATTTTAATTGATTTGTTTTTGAATTGAATTCAAACTTTGTCAAAATATTTTAACTGTTTATATCCAATCAGTTATATCAAAATATTAGGAGGGTTCTCACAAAATATAATCTTATGATTAAAATGTATGGCAAGTTGAATAATTGTTTGTTATAAGACTTGTAGTAAATTTTGAATGTAAGCAGGAACTTCTAAAACTAGTTCTCCATTCATATAAATAACAAAGTGGTTGTAGTTGGTATTATTCAGACAACCATTGTTTCTATCACTAACAACATCATTAGTTAGACATCTAACAAAAACTTGTCTTTTCTGCACTAAGCAGAATATATATTTGAACTCATCTTTTCTGCGATGGGCGCAATAAATCTGAACTACTTTTTTTTTTACAGAGCATGTAGAATGTCAAACACGTAGAACCTCATTATCAAGTGCATTACAGAAAGCGTAATTATTTTATGGCCCACTATATTAGTTCTTACAATGAATTAAGATAAATTTAGAAAGTGTCTGATGAAGTTCAGGTATGATCAGGTGTTTTTAAGAGTTTCTAATGTATATATTGCTACCATCATGATAATAACACATGCTACAAACAGTTTCTACGGACTAATTTCTTCCATTCATGTTGCTACTTTCTGCTTAATTGGAAACAAAGTAGGTAAACTATTTTCTATCGCTTTGAGTGATGAAATGACAATGAGGTCGTTTTGATAATTTTCAAATTTTATTGACAGAGGAGGTTTACATCTCACTGTTACACGAATAATATAATATAAATATAAAATAATATAGAATCTAGTTATTTCAATGGTAAATTGACAAGAGCTTATCTCATACTGCCAACGTGTTTGAGTTTAGATTTTTTAGGACTTAAAATCAGATAGAAACAACATTTAGGAAACAAAAATTAATTTCTTAAAAAGAAATAAGGAGTTATTAAACTGAGCTGACCTGTTAATAATACAGAATTTATTCTAATAGATAACTATCTCATATGTTTCAGATAGATGAGTAGGCCTTTTACCTTATTTGGAAGTGAAATAACAAAATGAATATAAATTTCCTGTATATGATTTAAGGCGTGTAAACAGGTTTTGTTCTGTATAATAATTATATGAGGATTCATCATAACTAAGCCTAGTTTTCAAGAACTCAGAGCCTAAATATCAAATCTTAAAGAAGTTAATCTTGGAGAGAAATATTGCTTTTTCTCAAAAATGGTGAAAAAAGGTAATCAATAAGAGAAAGAGTAGAATGAAGTGAAATCAATGATTATAAACGGTTTTGAGAACATTAGAAGATAAACCAGTTAATATTGTCTAGACAAGAAAACAATTCAGTTTAATGTTTTATATCAGGCTCAAATATCCACCTGTCAAAAACTATTTTCTCTCCTTTTCTTTTCCACCAATAAAACAAGTCGGAAAAATCATTTTCAATTCTTGGCCCCTACTATTGGCTCTTGAAGAGGTCTTATGGCATGAAATTTGATTGCATACTGCACAGTGATGCCCATCTTCATTAGCCCATTCAGGTGCAGAAATTTGGAAAGTAAAACTACATTTCATTCTTGAGCCATGCCTTTAGCATTGTGAATTTGATTTCTATATATAATATTATCAAAAATAAACACTGTCCATTGTGATTTGTCTAAAATTCTTTCTGCACTTTAGACTTCTTGAGATTCTAGATACATCATCAAAATAAACACAATTCTTTGTGAATTTACGAAAATGTTTCCATAGCTTCTATTTTTTTGGTTTTTAATTTCCAGCCATTGAAATCTATCATAACTGACAAGGGGGAGTATATCGAAATGAAATAATAATTATAATAATCAAGATAAATGGAGAGATTCATGGTGAACGTCTGCACTGTTCTGGTCATTATAAAATATATCCTAGCTGTCTCAGAAATTTAATAAAAATATTTACAAGACGATGACCAGGCTCATAGAAAAAGAATTAAGTCTAAGACACTGAATATATTAAGATTATCTGATTGGACAATCGGAGAGAGGTCATTAAGTCAAATCTAGTTTTATAAGCCAATCAGAATACTGTATTTAAAAAAAATGTTGATTCAAGCAGAGAAATCAATTGGTCAATTACTAAAATTGGTTTAAATCTAGTTTTTTAAGCCAATGAGATTACTGTATTTCTTAAAAATTTTGTTTCAATTATATTTAGTTTAAAGTAATCATAATTGGACATTTATGAAGTATTTATTTTATTTCATTTTATTTTTCATCATGAAGAGAAAATGACCAATATATTGTGAAAGTCACCTGCCCTAAACCCTCTAATGAACTCTTCTACACATGCTGTTAACACAGTCAATAAGATACAGTGTTCAGAAGAGTTAATTGCAAAATTGAGAAGAAGGTTTCTGGTTGCCTCAGGTGCAGGCACAGGAACAGTCTTGGTCAGATATTTTTGTCGCAGATTAGAGTCTTGAGTAAAATTTTGTGAGTACCTGTTCTTTCACTACAAGATTATCACGTCCCTAACAGGATTTATAACTAACTCTTATACTTTTATCATCTGCAAGACAGACGGTCATCATCCAATCAGATTCATTTTCCTCTCAATTGCATGCTCCACACATGATTATCGACATAGTGAAAAAGAATAACTGGAGATTTTTGTCTACTCGTGTTCCCATGCGAGTCAGTGAAACTCTTGACATGACTCTAGTCGGTGACAAAAATCTCTGACTTAGACAGCTCATGTACCTAAACCTTTACAGATTAAATCAAGAATGGGATTATGACATAACCTATACATGGATCTTCACTTGGTGACATGAATCAAGTTTATAGTACTACTTTTATGCAGCCAATCAGGCTAATGAAAGCAGGCGATGCCATCCAGTTTGCAATGAGGCATACATTACCAACAGATCCATGAATGTCAATCGCTAGAAAGTTAAATGCTGGTAGTTGTTAGCCAACATATGGTAAAAACAGACAATTTTTTTTCTTTTTTTCCGATTCGATTAGTTTTTTCTAACAATTTCCAGACGTATTTTGAGTGTTGCCATGTTGAAATTATCTATCTGTTTTTATTGTTAATCAAATTTCTCTCTCGATAACCTCCATCCCATAATTCACTAGTGTAGGTACGAAGGAATGTGAGGTTTATGTTAAATCAATACAATATACAGCTGTTTCCGTTGAGTTTTATTGTTTTAAATAATTTCATCAGCAGACTTCCAGAACCACTATTTATTCTCCATGGTTTATGGTCTTTTCCTCTAGTTTAATACCTTATATAGAATTCAATACTGGTTGTATATATACCATTTCCCTCCTTTTTAATTTCAAACTTAACTATTGAAATCAGTAAAATATTCAAATTTTCAAATTTCATTCTGCTGGATTTCTTATCTTTGGACTCGGCAACATTATTTTATATCTTTCTATAGTTGTATTTAGTAATTGGAGAATTAATAACTTGACACGATTATACAGATAACAATTACTTTAATAACTTACAATGTTTCGACAAAAATACCCCGTTCTTTATCAAACTCGATTTTGATTTGCTACTGAAATCCAAAAAGGAAATGTCCCGGTGTAATTTCAACTGCTCTGACGTAAACCATATAATCATAAAGAAACGAGACAGAACAATATCGAAATTTAGAACAATTGGTAATAAAAACAGATAATTTAAGAGTAGAAGTTGCAGAATTAGAGATATTAACACTATGTTGTGTTAAGATCAATATGAACGCGGGCTAATAACACCAAAATATAAAGAAATTACAGTCAAGTCAATATTGAAATCTATTTTCAGAATTTAAACCATGTTAAACACAGTCTTTCTTCAGTCTGAATCAGCAATATAATGCCATTACAATTTTAGATACTAGTAATTGATATGTACTGTTCGATTCTATTCTGCACAGACTGGGATAATAAACACCGGTCAATATCAAAACTTTTCATTTTCAACAGTCTGGGCACAGTCAGGTGCTTGATAATTTATTTCCCCAAAAATAGGCCTGTTCTTTATTTATTACATCTTATATCACACAAGATTCGGTTGATTCATCAGTGAAACATGGTCGTGGAAAGTTCGAAAAAATTCAAGATTTTAAAAATTGTGAAATGTTGAAGTTATATGAACCACTAACTAAAGTAATTGGCTTAAAGACTGTTTGATTAATTAAAATTTATTTTTATGATTTTGTTATTCCTAAAAATAATAAATAAGAGGCTAAATACTAATTTGTTTAAGATGCTTTGAGCAATGCCCACTGTAATCAATTGACTACCAATAAAACTATATGCTTTAAGGCTAAATTTCATTGGCTCCAAATATGTAGGTAGCTCGGGGGCACACAGTGAAAGATTCTGAACACAAGTTTTACAATCAAAATTAGTTAAAAGTTGTTTAAAAATAGACTGTTGACATAAAATCAAGGTTTACAGCCAAATTCTGCTTTGAAAAGACAACAAGATTGCTTCAAGTTAAAGAATCAGATCGATTAAACACATTATAAGAAAACTTTGAAACTATTTTTATGCCTTAGAAACTGGAGTGAAATGTTTTAGGTGACAGAAAGAGCAATTCGTCAAATAATTGCTTGAAGTTACAAATATAACAATGTCAATAGATTTAAAACCTTCACAATACTATTCTTAAGGCCTATAGAATTATGTAAAATATGTTAGGCAACAGAGAAGGGCCATTCACCCAATGATCGCTTGAAGTTTAAAATCAAATTGAATTATTGGACAGTTGAATCAATTGAGATCATTGAAAATTTCTGCAAATAGCTGGTGTCAATATAAATCTTGCACTATAATGACCCCCTACGACTCTTTGACAATGCCTGACAATTTATGGCATTGATTGGAATAATGGAACTTGACAATTGCAGGACGATTCAATATTTCACTGTGCAATGTCCTTCAGGCCAACGTGTTAACTTGTCATTTAATTCCTCAAGTCTAACCACATTTTAAACTATAATTAATAGCATCTGTAACATTATAACAGAAATCTTTGATGTTTTGAACTTAAAGTTTCTCAATCAACTGTTGAATTTTTTCAAATATATGATTGGAGCCTTGTTTTGAATAGCCTGGTTGTGAAACTAAGAATGGCAGGAGACAGGATCCATCATCAAAATCTTTTGGTAAAGAACTTGCACTTTATTATATCATTAATCTTTACTTGGTGACCTAGACCAGTGCTTTTATGAGACTATGTTCTTATCACCAATTAACACTGAACAAAGGTATATTAGAGAAATACTTTAATATTTTAGTATCATTTCGATAACTTTATAAATCATTTATAAATACCACATACGAAATATAATACAGTTTTAATTCCTAATTTTTTTGCACCCGTTTGGGTTAACGAGGACAGGCAACACCATGCAGTGTGCCATTTAATATTCTAAAAGATCATTTACACCACAGAAAACCTCTCTATTGCAATACAGGCGATTGAACTCGTAGGTTTTAGCTGGGAAGGCAGACAAGTTGGACCCAAGATAGCCATATATCATCTTAATATCTTCAGTTATAACACCATTATTCTTAAAATATACTAACTATTCCTCGATTATCTCAGATTTATTAAGATGGAAGCGATATTTAACGCTGAAATAAGTATCCTGGGATAGCAGAACAGAAGCGTTATTCACAAATAACGCCAGTATATCACAATAAACCTTAAGTTATATATAGCAATAGATATAGTGGACATGCAATATTACACCTTAATCATCACGAGTTTCACAATTTCATATTTTTAATAAATGAAACATTCTTGCATCCCTATAAAGATGGCAAAGGACAGTATCTCCATCAAGAGCCATGAATATACTATCTTCACAATGTCAAAGCTTTCACAAACTTCATCTTATACCTTGACTGCAATAACCACCTTTTTTTGTATCATCGAAATTCTAAATTGAGTGATTTGATTGGGTTGTACGCTAGGGAATACAACAAATCAGAAACCTGGACAGAAAGTCTGAATACAAAGCCATAATGATTGCAGTCTTTCTGGATCTCTGATTGGCTGTATTCGCTGTCGTACAATCAAATCAAATCGCAGCATTTCATGATAAAAGAAAAGTGGCTATTGCAGTCAAGGTTTTAGATGCAGTTTGTAATAGCTTGACATTGTGAAGATGTGAAGATATAGTTCACATGGATTACAGCACCCTAATGATGATCATGGGTTTCCAATTTTAAATTTTCAAGAAAAGAAACCTTGATTGGTCTTTGTACATGAGTGACTAAAAGCCTTTGAGAGGACATAAAATCATCAGTTGACAGAATGTCCTGTACAGCGATCTTTATTTTTAAATTTCTTGCCGCCTCATTTTAAAAATTTGCTTAAACTCTGGTATTTACATTATTACTTTAACAAGCTGTGTAAAAATATCTTGGCTGAACAATGGTGTAGAATGACTTTTGATTATTGAGAATTTTTAACCTCAGGTATTGTTCATTTTCAATCAATCCATCATTATCAATAAGTTTGATACCATAATATCGCGTGACTTCAACCATCTAATTAATTATTCATACTCTAGTACAATATCCCTCTACAACACGACAATTTTATGACTTGAATCCCACGGGGCCAATCAACAACCCTCATAGTGACAGGCAGAACTTGTACGGCACGAAACAATAACCAGTATGGCTCAATATATCACATGATCACATACTCGATAATATTCAAATTATGATTGGTAAAACACAATATTCAAATATATAATCAACTTTTTGATTGGTCCAATGGGAATTAATCAATTAGCACCTTACATGCTCATTGGATAATTAGAATTTTTGAATAGACATGTAAGCTTTTCATTGGTCCACTGGGACCAGAATTCGATGCTTCATATTGATATTGGGATCTCAAGACCTAGTAAACGATCAAAAATTGAAGAGAATAATGAAACCCTTTTTTAGGCTTTGTTCTCTGAAATCCCACGACCCCATCTAAATATACCGCTACATCAATATTTCAAGAAGTTCTTAGAAACAGAATTTCCATCTGAATTGACGATATCCATAATTTTTACGGTATTCTCACATTTTCAATACCTTAGTAATTTAATTATATATCCCTTCACTTAATACACAATAAAAAACTTCATTTCAAGCCATTATAGAGATGGTAATTCACAATTGAGTGCCTTTTGTTTTTTCGGTGTGAATAATTTAAAAGGATGAAACTCTGTTGTATTGTGGTATAATGGAAAACGTGAACTTATCATCGACATCAATTTATAACCGTCAATGGAGGAAACGATGCTTAAACAGAATAAAACTACAACTCATTAAAAATATATCTTTAAAGGAATATTACCTCTTAGAATGGACATAAGTTTAAATTCTCAAACTTGGCCGATAAGAATATGCATTCATCAGTTGGATTTACCAGGTACAATGACTAAAGAATATAATCTTTATATAGGGTGATATATTTTTTAAACTAAGTAATTATTTAGGAATTCTGTTGTATAGTTTTTGACACCAGGTAAGTCCACTGATGAACTAACTCTTATTTTGGCCAAGTTTAAAAAATTTCAATTTTTGGTCATACTGAGAAGTAATATATCTATCAGATAATCTAATTGGTGCATGTTATACAGTAAGCATAGCAAGTTTGGTTACCCAGGTAGAAATTTTTGCCTCTTTATAGGAACATTGGATAGTCAGGAACTTTTAATTTGTTTTGTTCCTTGTACAAATACAATGTGACACATGCGCTGTGACTTAACATCTCCGACTAGACTGTAAAAAAAAAAACGTCTATATAAGAATACCAGGCTGGACTGGACCAGTCAAAAAAAAACTTATCTAAAAGAGGTACAAACCTGATGAAGGCATATCCTTTGTCTTTAAAAACTCTAATTTCTTGAATATTACCATAGGATGTGAATGTTTTCCTCATAACTTCCTCTGTAAATAGAAAAAATTATTGATGATTAAAATATAGCATAAGATTTAAATTATCTTTTTGGCAAGCGGAATTCACATTTCAACCCAGGAACTTCAGCTAAAACCTTTCTCTCTAGGGCAAGATTAAGAGCTACACCTGTTGGGTATAATACAGAATTGTCAACTGGTGACCAAAAAAATCTTTGCCAGCTAGCTATGTAAGCTCTCTAATAGGGACACTGACCGCTATAATGTTTAAACATCAGCATGCCATAATCTAAATGTGCTCAAAATGTGTTCTACAAGTTTTATTAATAAGACTTTGGTGCTTTAGAGCGAGCTTGGAACTAAGAAATGGCGTGAAATTGGGAACTTCAACTTTACAGATTAACAAAGATTGGTACTTTACTAAAAAAAATTGTAACCAAATTGATTACCGTATCTTAATTGGACGTCTACTCAAAATAAATTGGATATTTATAACAATGCAAGAGAAAACTCGAACCAAAATTACGATTTTTTTAACATTTTTCATTAAGATAAATATGTTATTCTAAACACTTCCAGCCTAAATTCATACCATAAATTGTAACAATAAGGGTCACTCTATTCTTCTTTTGACACACAATTTATAGTTTTTAACATTTTATAACATCAACCACATACAATATTGAATCAAAAATAAATTACACAAAAATAATTCAATTTCATGCCAGTATTGTCACTAAATTTCTACCAATATATGAATTCAAGATCAGAAAATTTCACATTTATCAAGAATAGTGAAGAAAAGATTCATGTGTGGTTTTTTAAAATCATTCAATTTCAAGCTAAGGGAGGTAAAAAATGTATCAAACCTCAACACCTAATTGAAATTTGACAAAAAAATGTTTCAAAATGATAAAACGTGTGATTTAATAAAAATACCAATTTCCATCAAAAAGACTTTAGTTTTTCTCAAGCAATATATTTAAATAAAATAAACAATTCATTATTCAAAAGAGATCAGAATTCAATTTATATTTTTCAAATTTTAACAGCCATTTTCATGTTTCAAATGAGTTTTTTTTTTGTTCACTACGTACTCATAAATCTATAATTGTATTACAATTGATCAACTGAAGAATTGCAGACATTTCACTATAATGTCATGAAAGGTTTCTTTCGCTATTGTAATTTCAATTCTTATTCTATTTGTATATAAACTTAACAATGATCAAAGCAATTCATTTTGATAGTATTTGTTGTAGAGTATTTTCTCTTATATTTTTTGGCAATTTGAACAAGTTCATAATTGAAATAGTTAAGTTGTTATTTCAACACCCACTTGAATATTTTTCTAATAAATACCACATAAAAACAGAAAATTAACAGATACAGGTCTTTTAAAAACTCAAAACCATTCTTGAAAACATTTTCAACCTTTCCAAGTTGTGACCTTTTTCTTGGTATTTCGGTCCTCTATTACAGGTGAGTATAATATATGGACATGGTTGTACAGGTGAAACTAGAAGTAAATATACAAACCATTTAATCCATTAGTTACACCACCACAATATACAGTACAATTGGTAGCACTGGATTGGTTAAAAACTTCATCAAATGACAACTGTTTTACGTCTAGAAATAGAAACATAAAGGGATTAACATCTAGTTCATAGAGAATTTCAAATTTTTTTGCTCTAATTTAGGTATCCCAAGCATCTCGTACCTGGTAGAAAGGATTCTTTGTGATTCAAGGTTGTTATCCTTGTAAAATATAGTTGTTTCTTTCAATGAGCTTTCTTTAAGTCTTGTTTTTCCCTACCTGAACCTTCGCTTCCTGGAGGCCATCTTGATTCTTTGACGGTTGGTGCGGGGGGTTTCCGGGTGGCCCAGTTGGTTCTGATGGGTCGGCTTCCAATCCATTGTCCGTTCATGTTACCAATTGCATTCTCAGCATCCTGAAAGAACAAAAAAATATAATATAGTAGGAATAAAAAATAAAATTTAAAAAATCCAAGCATTAATCATCCATACTGTAAAATTAAACCAACAATCTGAAACAATCTAGCTTGGCAAGCACTAAATAAACACTTGATATAGAACAAAAAAAAAACCCTAATCCTCACAGCAGACGTAGGATTTGAGTTTTTTCAAAATTCCTATAAATCTAATTCCTGGCATTTGAAGCAACTTGATAATCTGAGAGTGAAACGACTCACTGTCGATAAATCACAAATTAACTCCCCTGGATCAGTTTCATCGCTAGAACTACGATAGCTAAAACAATGAGACAGGAATATTTGCTGCCTTATAAAAAAAATTTACACAAATCAGAATTCTGCAAGTGATGAATGTAAACATAATGTTTCTGTCTTTGTGTGATTTACACAATGATTCATTCAAGTCTTTGAATAGAGGATGACAATGGATTCCTTACAACCTTCTTAAAGATAGATTTATAAGGGAACGTTCAAAATGATGTCAATTTCATTTCATCTGAATATACTATTCAAGAGAATCAAATAACTTGGTTCACTTTTGGAGATTTTTTTTCAGTATTTTTAGAATTAAAGGAAATTAAAAGTCAAGCAAAAATATTTCTGCATAACCATGTCCGATTGTTATCAGAAACTAAAAGATTTAACTAAGTTTATGATAGTTTAAGTACTATACTAATGAATGCAATCAAGGTCTGTACCTTGAAAATTAGGCCCTAGTGAATTTCACATCGAATATCAAAATCATATCAAAGGTTTGATGTGAAATAGACTCCAACACTCTTGAATGATCAAGAAGCAAATTCAATAGTTCTGACTGATGCTCCCCTTCCAAATGTGATACGTGTCAATATGACATCAAGTCAACTGACATCACCGATAACTTCTCCTCCACGATATTGACAAGTTAGATAAGTCAGTAAGCCAAGCGTTAAGGGGTATATTTAACTCTAAGACTAGCATTCATCAAGAAGACAGCTACATGTCAATATGGAAGGAGAAGACTGATAATCTGAAGGCTAGAATCACACATTCTAAACATGTATATTGACCACCTAACTTAAACTTGTTAAATAAGTCAAAACAATTAAAGATTTATTTTGATATGTGTATATATCTAATTATATGGTTACAATCATATCTATACATCTGACCAGACTGAAATCTGGTAATTTACATTTCTTGAGTTAAATTCAGACATCACTGGCAAAAAGTAACAGCTATATCAACAGTCTGGGGTCCAATATTGAATTCAATAATGGTGAACTTATAACATAGAGAGAAAGAAACAACTATATTTTACAAGGATAACAACTTAGGTTCACAGTTAAGAATCCTTTCTACCAGCTGGTCCCTGACGAAACCTCTTGGCATTGATCAACCTGACTATGTGAAAACTTTGGTAAAATCACCAAATAGATAATTTATCTTACTTAATCATTTGATAACCCTATTTGTACAACATCTTAGGTCCAATATTGAATGAAATAATAGTGTACTTATTACATAGCCTCAGTGATGACATGAAAATCAACCTGACAATATCAAAGGCTGTAGTAAAATCACCAAACAGATAACGTATCTTAATCATTAAATTGCACTGCATGTTAATCTGAGGGCTTACTGCTAGAGTAATAAATGTGTCTGAAACCATGTAAACCTCTAGTCAACTTGTATAAGGTCAAATCATTGGAAAGGTCAAGTAAAATTTAAGATCATCAGTCTGATATAGCTATAATTTTGATTTCGTGTTATTTTACCATTTATACTTCCAATCGATAAATTCTAGATTTAATTTTAATAGTTGTAAAACATGGGCAACATTGATTTTCCTACAGTTAAATAGTTGATCTCTTTACTACTGTCTGTCTAGAGATTCTTCAACAGGAAACAGGTTTTCAAATTATTTAAATAATAAAATGAAATCATGATCGAATGAAAGGATAATAAAAGATTTGTGAATGAATGATTTAATGAATGAATGAATGATTTAATGAATGAATGAATGAATGAATGATTTAATGAATGAATGAATGAATGAATGAATGAATGAATGAATGAAAGAATGAATGATTTAATCACCAAAATGTTTCTATTTATTTATGAATATTGAACTCAAGCAGAGTAAAATTCAAACTGTTTGCTTACAGGGGTGCTCAAGCTCTTCCTTTCTATTCCCTTTTAGGAATCATTATAGATTGCCTTAACGCCCTTCCCCCTATAAATCCTTGAAAACCCCAGGCTTAAATTGAGATTTTATTTGAGAATATTTAAAATGAAATGGAGTGTTCACAACAGATATAACTAAGACTATGACTGATATGTAAATTAGAATCAATATTAAGCAAGTAATAAAACAGGTCGTCTAAATTACAATTTATTTAATCATTATTATTTCATTTCATTGATTACAACATTTAAAGCAGGTTTTCTCAAGTAATTTTGTAAAAGCGTAATTTCATATTTTTAATTGCCAAAGTGCCACAAGTGTGTTTTGAAAGGGCTCACATAATGGCCTGAAGGGGTGTAAACAGGATATCCTTGTTGGGGGGTGAAGATACCCATTCTCACTGTATGTGGTGCCACATCCTCAAACCCAAGATGTACCCAGATTGTACGTCCCTGGAAAGTAACAAACGTGGGCTAAAACTTCATTCATAACCACATTGGTTCCACGTGAGACAAGAGAACAGGTACTCTACCTAGATTAACCATAACTCACTTTAACCGTAAGATAATATTGATCAAGTGTACAAAATTTAGATTAGACAAAAACTCAATAAAATTACTAATAATTGAGAGGGCCAATAAATGATATTCCTTTATGATATTGTAATATTTTTTTATTCACAGTAATCTCAATATGCTATAGTTCACAACACAGAATTGCTGTTTGTGTGTTTTACGTGCCATTCCTATCATCAACACGTTTTTAACAAATTCTATATGGAACGGCTAATGTTTGTAAATTGGAGTTTAACATAGAAAACTGGCATGACAATGTCTTTAATACACAGGGAATATTAATCTATAAACTCAATACTTAGTTTTTTTTGTTGGTTTTTCTATATTCAATTTGTCATGCTTTACTGATATCAGAGTATATCTTTCAGATGTCAATTGGGTCAAGATTAACCTGTATGTGTTTTATTAAAATAATAAAAAATAACTACTAGTAATACGAACTGGACAACATTGATGTTCAATATGTACTTTTAAGACTAAGCTGAAAATCTTTCGAGCACAAATAACAAATAAGCACTATCAATGACTAGGAGTAAAAAATTTCAAAGTATGATAATAATAGTAAATATGTATGCAAGCTAAATCTATTCAGAAGCACGATCAATAATAAGCAACAAGTTGAAAAATAACTAGGTCTTCAAGTTTGACATAATTTAGGAGAAGGGAGCAAAATTCTCATCGACATTGTGAAGCTCATTCCAGGAGTCCCCCACCTCGTCAGAGTGATACCATACCAACTACCGAGCTAGACGATTGCATCTAGAAATAATCCCACATAAGATTATTGCCGTCAATATTCTAGTAATTTCAATTTAGCCGTGTCTGTCAATGTGTTACTAAACGGAAATTACATCGTATATATTGATTCTAGAAAAATATACCCCATTTAACTTCAATAAGCCTGCTTTAACTAAGTTTAGAATAATATCATGTATTCCCTTATCAATATTGTGGGGTACTTAAAACAAAATGGAGTCTTATGTTTGGTGAAAGCAATTGAAACAGAATGCTCACCATTTCAAAAAATACTCTGGACTTCATTAAGCCTGCTAAGTTTTGAATAACATAATATATTCCTTTATTCAAATCATGGTGTACTTTGAAATCAAATGAGTGGACGTTTCTTTGGTGATCTCTGAAAGCCATTCTTCATTCATTGAAGGCAACCAAAACAGCACAAATTTGGCTTAACAAATGACATATATAGCTAGACTGTTTAAAAATCCATATCAGTAATAGAGTCTATTTGGTCAAGAACGTACTTTTTAAGTTAATGTGTTTTTAATAATCTCTTGATCGATGTAAAAATGTCACAAACCACAAGGGAGACAACCTACTTTAATTACCTGAATGATTAAAAAAAAAGCTCTGAATATATCAATGTAAGAGTAGGTATTAAAATTAATCAAGATTGTGGTCAAATGTGTCACTTTAATGAAGTTAATTATTCACAAACGGAATTATTTCCCCTTGTTAGCTCTTTAATTAGAAGTTAAAAACAATCATTAGCAGACTATTCATCTATCACTTAAAATGATCTGTCTTTACAGAATTGGACAAAAACATCTTGGGACAGGTTAATTGTCAATCTTTCAAAGGCTCTCAGTTAATTTAATACTATTTACCATCTGTTAAAGAAAGAAAAAAGAAAAGTTAATTGTTAGAAACTTAGCGCTGAAATAAGACAAATGGCATGGAGTTAAACATCCTACTTTTCTGGAAGTGGAAAAATAAGCTACAAAGAAAAGGGACAGAAGGTTGAAAGAAAATGTTAATAATTTCTGATCATGGCCAGCACAGATACTAGATTAGTGTTAGATGGTGATAAGAACATAGTCTGATAAAAGCACTGGTCTGTGTCACAGAGTAAAGATTTACGATGAAACAAAAATGAAATAAAATGAATGGAGTTTTACATCCTACTTTTCTGCACCATGTGATAAAACAGTATCTAATTTATTTAGCTGAAATCTATAAGGGATGTCCTAATTACTTATCATGCTTGCATGTTACTTAAAACTATCATATCATAAGATTGAAAAAGAAATGCAACATTTTCTTATCAAATACAAGAACTTCAAACAAAACGAGTAAAAGTTATCCAAAATATTCCACTCGACCTCTAGTAGCTAATATGAATATCATTTTGCTAAAATAAATTCACCTACTAGCCTATATATTTTTCTTTTGACTATTAAAGTACATTTCATTTAATT